CATCTTTAATCCCAGCACTAGGGAGGCAGAAGCAGGCAGATCTCTGTAAGTTCAAGGCCAGCCTGGTTTACATAGTAAGCTCCAGGTCAGCTGGGGCTACAAAAAAAAAAAAAAAAAAAAAAAAAAAAAAAAAAAGGCCAACCATTCAGTGGATGGCAGTGAGTCTACTGAGCTGCGTTCTCTCACGTACCCACCTTCTACTTTAACAAAATCTCCATCTTCAATGATCAAGTGTTCTTGTCTAGAGTGATACTTTTTTAATCTGCAGAATACTCTGAATGATACTGTCATAGCCACTTGGCTTTGTGACACTTCCTGTTGCACACTGTTACTCACCCCATCAGTTTGTTCTTATCCCACTGCATTACTGTTGACAGTGTGTGTTTTGCTTTTTACCCAGCCTGATCAACTAGCCTTTGACTAAAGCCTTTAGAGTACTTACAGAAGTCACCTTGACATACCCTGACGTACCCTGTCCCCTCCTTCCCAAGGATGGGAATGAAGACATGACTAAATGTTACATCTAGACCTCAGTGGTGGGGCTTGTTTGGTTGACTGTTGAAGTCTTTCTCCTATAGCCTCTTCCTTGCATCATTCCTTCTGAGTCCTTCCTTCTGATCATCACAGGAAGCAGCCAATGGCCACGTCTACAATCTCACATGGTTTTCTGGGATTTACAGGCTTTAGGAAAACGTGGGCCTCTCTGCTTTAGAAATGTCAGAAGAAAAAGCACAGTGGTTCCTAGCCTGAAATGTTATGAGACCATGAAAGTTCACCTACCTACCTGTCCACCCATCCACATATCTATCTGTCCTCTCACCTACCCATGCAGCATCTATCCACTCACTCATCTAGCCATTTCCCTATTTAGCCACCCACTCACCTGTCTACCCATCCAGCCACTTAGCCATCTATCTGCTTACCCATCTATCTACCCACCTATCTATCTGCTTACTCATTCATCCATCTACCTGGCCACCCATCTATCTACCCACCCATCCACCTATCCACTTATTCGTCTATCTACTCACTCATCTACCTACCCATCTATCTGCTTATCCATACATCTATCCAACTGTCCATCTGTTTTCTTATTTATCTACCTACCTGATCACACATCCATCTATCCATCCATCCATCCATCCATCTACTTACTCATTTACATGCCTATCCATGCATGCATTTACATGTCCACCTGTGTACTCATTCTTCCATCTGTCCATCTATCCATGCCTGCCTCACTTGCCCTTTTACCTGCTCTACCCACTTATGGGCTCTGCTCCATTATTCTGTACTCTGATCACATTTCACCTGTGTTTCTGATGCCAGTGCTGTTTCCTTCTTGGTATAAATGGCTCTTTTTTGGTTTTGGCTCAACTCTCCAGGGAGTCTCTACTTGCTGTCTGTACTGCCAGTTCCCTTACACACCCATTTCCACATTATTTAACATGTTCAATGGGCAAGAACATGTCTGTTGTGTTCCTATGTGCACCAGACATGTGAGGGTACTTGTGAAAGTTCTTTGCCTTGGAGTTTCCAATGGGCCGGAAGGTCATGATTCCCGGACAGTCCAGAGGCCCTTCCTGTAGACAAGGCAGAAGAGCAGGCCCGCAGAAGCACTGTGAGGGTTAGGCAGTGCTTACCAGCGGGCCAGCCTGTTCATGAGAATTTCTGGATATGAGTACATACAGTGAGCTTGTCTCATAAGCCAGCAGAAACATGAGACTGCCCTTCAAGGTGGCTCTTCTCCCCCGCATCCCAAAGAGCTGGCTCATAAGCCTGAGCTGGGTTAGGTCTAATGATCCTTCATTAAGTAGTTATTTTCTTCAATCTAGCCAAGGAGCAATACTTCCGCGTCACTTACTGTGTGCCAGGCATCTGTTCAGAGCTTCCTCCCATCATTGCCTCATTTGACCTGAACAACGACATCCTGAGGGGGAGCTTATTTTCACTTCATGGATAAGGTTTCCTGAAGCCTAACTTGGACTTCCTATATCTCAGTTTCTGGAGACTAATGCCTGATCATGTCCCACTACTTTATGAACGTGCCCATGCACTAGAGCTATCCTGACCCCCAGAAATCCATGGTATTTAGTTTTTCTGGAGTTGCTGTAACTCCTTACAGCCATGCTGGCCAGCTTACTGTGTGTGTTCTATCTCTAAACAGCACATAGGTAAGCAAGTGATCTGCACTCGATAGCTGCACTGACCAAGCAATATGCCCGCAGCTCATGGCCTCTTGGTATTTCTGTGAATCCGATGCTCTGAATTCACACCATCAATGAAGGGATGGGGACATCAAGAATTCAAGTCAATTACACTCGTCGGTGACCTCTGGGCTCCCTCAGGTTAGCAGAGAAGAAAACCTGCCTGTGAACTGACAACAAACAGTGACACCTTGTGGGGAATATAAGGAACAGCTTTTCCTGGTTGCAATTCTATCTGGAAAGGGAATGATCAAACACCCAAGTCAAAAGGCACTGTGGGAACAACAGGAGTTTTATTTGTGGTCAAAGAGTTTCTCCTCTGAAAAGCAGTGAGCCTGGGTGGAGGGTCCTGCAGAGATCCATGGCCTGTTGGGGCAATCTCCTCAGTGCTCCAATCACAGCTTGGCCTTCCCCAAGGATTTAGGGGTCTTGGGAGCCACATTTAATGAGAAGTAAAGCTGAAGAACATGGGCATATACAGAACACAAGGGCAAAGGAGATGCCAACAGCTGCTCTAGAGTGAGGAGCTGCTCCTGAAGGCCAAGAGCCTACTGTGCAATCAGCTCACTCACTGGAGGGCTGTGGAGAATGGGTACATGCTGTGTGGTGCTGAGCTGCGCTCACACAATGCACAGGAGCGAATACTGGGCCCCAGCACCCACCCATCCACTCTCAGTACTGCTTTTGACTGAGGATTTGCTACCACAACATCAGCCGGTTTGCCTTGAGTATGGAGAGTCTAACCAAGTGAACTAGGAATATCTACATCTACTCAGGAAGCAAAGCATCTCAGTGATGTGAATTGTGCAGGACAGCTGATTTCTACATATATTGGAATGTGGCTTTACAAATATAAAATTGTGGGGAATTTAAAAAACATATCAGCTAACAGCAGTGCTTTGAGGAATGGTTTACATTCATAGCTGCAACGGAATTAGGATATCAGAAGTATCACTGCTTGGCCACGTGTGTGTGTGTGTGTGTGTGTGTGTGTGTGTGTGTGTGTGTGTGTGTGTGTGTTCCACTGAAAAGCGAAACTGTATCTGAAGAGGAGTGCGCTAGTGGTGGAGGGTGGAGGGAGGATGAGTAGGTCTGCTGTCTGTTGAGGGGCAGCAGCACCTGTAGACATGGCACCTCGAAAGGAGTCCAATGTTGAGATACTGTGGAAGTAGGCTTTCAGTGCTCAGGGATAAACCCTGCACAGCCAAGCTGAAGCAATCACTCCATTTCAGTGGACGCTCATGATGCTTCAGTACAGACACTAGTAAGGGAGGCTGGGTGAGCATGGCCCTTGGCTCACCAACAGTGTCTGTCCTTCATGCTGCCTTGTGTAGAGTGTCTCTACCTGGCCTCATGTCACTCTCAGGAGGACAGTTTGGAGTAGCTGGGAGGGGACAGCTTTCGTTTCAAGTACTTGAGCACGTAGAGTGGAAGGCAGCTGACCACAGTGATAGCTGACACTTTCCATAAGAAGGTCATGGTTGTGATGAAGGCAACATCTGTCAGGAGGAAGAGGAGAGTGTGAGAGTCAACCATGGAACTCCCAGCCACCAAGGCCATAGCCACAGCCATACTGAGTCCCCTCAAGGTCTCCAGAACCCTGGCTTCAGCAGAGGCCTGCCTTTGGCCTGGACTGTCCTAGTTGCCCTGCTGTTTAATCTGCGTGTCTATGCAGTTTGTGCTTCTCTCAGCACAATAAGCACAGCCTGAGCACTGGGAAGAAAAGGGCCTACACATGGCCCTTGCCTGACCATCTACCCTGTAACAGGCAGACAGCACTTTTAGCAGGACATGGCCTTGTTGCTCAGAGGATACCAACTCACTAAACTCTGCTTTGTTTGACCACCCAGGATAGGCATGGCTGACTTTGTGAGGCCCAAGTCAGTGTCGCTGGTGACCACTCCCTGCCTGTGGCTCAGTGTTCGGTTGTGCCTGTTTTGAAGAGATTTTTAGGTGGCTGTCCTGCATTTTCAGTCACCACTTATGGACCCATTGCTCATCCTAGGGAGGCAGTGCTAGTAACAAGGCTATTCAAAGTTCTTGTGGGGAGAAGCATGTGAAAAGTCTGACATTTACTTAGTTTGAGTCTATAAATCCCTTCAGTGTATTGTCAGAAGCTGGGATAAAAGGAATCTACTTATTAGAGTTACAGACTTAAAAAAAAAAATTAAAGAAAGCAACTGCTCTCTCTCCAGGGATCAGAGCCCAGGCCATGCTCACCCACAGCTTGAAAAAGGCTCTGCACTAAACTTGACAGGCAAGCCTATTTTAGGGAGAGGCAATCAAGCTGGACTCCACCCTTTCTCATATCTGCACACAGTACCTAGGAGCACGCTGTGACAGGCAGGCAGTACAGGCCAGCTTGATGAGGTCTCAGTGAGATGAGAAGTGGTGAGTTAGAGGAAGACTGGTTTTTATTCTTGGTTGTTTAAAATCAGTTAAGCATGCTTACCAATGCTGTTTTGTTAAATTTCTATGGCCTGGAAAGGAATAATAACTTTGCCTACCTAAGAAAGTGCCAAAAGATATTCTGCCTATACCTGTGCCAAGAGAAAACATGAATAAAGAGGATGAAGGCTAGATTAAAGAAGACTCAGATATTTTAAGTGGGTAGTTAGATTCTGATTAGAGAAATGTATTGCAAGCAAAAAGAATCTTAGTTTAAAGTGCACTTGTGGTTGTGGTTTTAACCCCTTTATTTCACTGTCTGCTTCTACATAATCTTTTAAACTGAATGACCTCAATACAATAATTACGTCATTGTAATTTGGAAGCAAACACTCAAGACATACCCACTGTGTTAATGTCTAAGAGCATCCGCCTCAGAATACTGCTGTAGATGAGCAACTGTTGGGCTTTGCACACCTGTTCACATGTATGAGATCTATACTGCAGATCATCTGGCTTGGCTGAAAGCAGACAACATCAGCTGCAGAGAAAAGCATCGGGCTTAGAGAGACAGTCCTGCCCAGGGTCCTGTGACAGAGTTTCTGTCACTTGTATAACTCCTGTTTGCAGAGTCCATTGTAAGTCTGCTTGTTACAGAAATGGACTAGACATGATTATTGCTTTTTCAGTCTCAGTATTTTTTTATTTTATTTTTATTATTTATTTTGTCTTTTTGAGACAGGGTCTCCCTGTAGCCCCAGCTGACCTGGAACTCAATATGTAGACCAGGTTGGCCTCTCAAATTCACAGAGATCTGCCTGCCTCTGCGTCCCGAGTGCTGGGTGTACACCACCATGCCTGGCATTTTTATTTGTTTTTAAATTAAAAAATTTCTTTTTTTGAGACAGCGTCTCCCTATAGCCCTGGATGGCCTGGAATTGGCTATGTAGACCATGCTGGCTTGGATCTCACAGAGATCTGCCTGCTTCTGCCTCTCAGGTACTGGGATTCAAAGCATGGGCCACCATGCTCAGCTGTCAAGTCTCAGTATTTTGTCTTGTGTTCTATACATACTGTTGATGATGGAAACAATTTACAATTCATTTTGAATGCCATAAAAGCAAGCAAGTCAACCTTTCTCTATGGGAGAGTATGGTACATGTCATGCTCCAAGGAAAATAATGAAGACATTCTCATTTGAAAGTAGCCCTTTCTAACATGCAGTAGGTATACTTTTTGAGCATGTTTCTTTTAAGGTAAAGTGAACTCTTTCCATTCCCCATCTGCATCAATCCCTGCCTGGTCTGAAGAGGGATGGCCTGTAGTGACTGAACTCGTCACTGAGGCTCTGATCCAGCAGGACCTGGAGTGACTTTGTGCTCATTAGTGTGCAAACTCTATATTCATCACCCCAGAGTCCCAGTATCTCCATGTACAGTGCAGGGGATGTAGGTATGTGACTAATATGCGTAGACAACTGCCCAGGATGGCTCATTACTGCCATCATGGGGATGGAAAACATATTAGGGACAGTGCAGCTTTCCCCTCTGAAAACCTGGAGTTTTTCCTTCTCAGACCAGGAAGTACAATGCTTGGGCCTCTGGCTGATATGCAAATGTACAGACTGTGGCCATACCCTTTGACTGGGATTTGGCCATGTTGCAGAAGCCCCATATTCGATGATACATCCTCTTCTCTCTCTACCCTAATTCTGCAGACTTTAGGAAAGAATGAGATGTGGTGTTCTCAGCCACACTGACCAAACTTCAGTTGTTCTCAGCCTCTGACTGGGGAAGAGAGATGATGAAGCCCAGCGGTGGATGACAGGGAGGGTGAGCTAGTGCTGAGGGACATGAGAGGTACTGCAAACGTTGCAGACACCTTGAGGACTGTAGATGTGTAGATGGGGAACTCCTGAGGAAAGAAGCAACAGCAAAGAATTAAGAACCACTTGACCGATAATGAATCAAAAAGTTCCAAGTCACTTACCAAAATACTCATTCAGAAAAGCAAGTGAGGCCACGTAGCAGCCCAGACTGAGGAACTCTGCCACCACCATCAGCCAGTGCCATGTCCTGATGGTCAGAGCCACCATGAGCAGCTCAGTCAGGATCAATGCTGTGAAGGAGATGGCCACGACATGGACGAACTCTGCCTCAAAGAGCACCAGTGCTCCATACATGATAATACCACCTGGAAGAGAGTGGGTAGAGTGGCCTCTTTCAGGGCAGCTTCTTCCCCGGCTTGGAAACTACATTATTCTGTGAACCAACTAGAAGAGGGACAGCAGGAATGGCTGGTTCATAGTGCTTGTGGTGGGGACCAGAAGCACAGCCAGTCCTTATGTCCAGAGAACTCTAGACTGTGGCTAAAACATGGCACTTGACAGATACAAGAGTCCAGCAGAAGCTCACAAACTAGAAATCTGCAGAAAGCTGCTTGGACTGCTGAGACAGTGTGTCTCACATGAGCACTATGATCTGGCAGCCAGTTATGCTCATGATATTCTCTCCCTTACTGGAACTCTACAGTGGTAATGACTTGCAGTTATATAACTAAGATTTCTCAAAGCCTACTATCATCACTCTGTGAAAGAAAACCATCATTCAGGGCACAAGTAAAAGTGTTAAAGTTTTCTGAATTAACATTTAATTAAAAACAGGTCAGTTTTTGGCTGATACACATTAGTTAAAAAGGAGCAGTCTGGGCCCAAGATTGCAGCTCAGCTGGTAGAGTGCCTGCCTTGCATGCAGGAGGCTGTGGGTTTGATCTTCAACACATGGCACAATCCGGGCATGACAGTGCATACCTGTAATCCCAGCACTTGGGAGGTGGACATATAAGGATCAGGGTCCAAGGTCAGCCTTAGTTACATGTTAAGTTTTATGCTACCCTGGGCTACATGAGGCCCTGTCTCTAAAATTAAAAAACAACAACAAAACCCAAAGACTCCCTCTCTCAAATACCAACCCATATGCTGGAGCACCAACCTATAAGGCAAACAGATTGCAACAGTTGACCACTGATGAAATTTTAAGCTGTTGGAATTTAATCTGTAGGTAAAAACAGTATTGTTAAGAACACATACACTCACACACCTTGGTCCGGTAAAATCAGGGCCTGCCTTACCTTGGTAAATACTGATCAAAACCCAGATGAGGAAGGTCTTGAAGGACAAAGATCTCCCCTAGGGTGAAAAAGAGAACAGTCTATCAGGAGAGCAGAGCAACGTGCTTGGTTGGTATAGTCCCAAGAAGGGGACAGGCAGCTTCTTGAGGGTCCAGGTCCGTCCTATGATGTTCTGACCCCATTTGACAGGGTACACCTCAGATGGCCCTGCTCCTTGCAGAAGCTGCCTGGGTGGGCATTGTGGATGAGTACTGAATGCCTGTGGGTGGTTAGGGTCTTGTATGTTTTCTTATCTGACCTGTGGGATCTTGAGACCACAGTCATATGTCTTTGCCTTCCTAGTAACCCAGAAGTTAGTGTCTGTAGACAAACATAAATAAACTAAGGGACAAAGACTGTGATGAAAATCATTTCCTTCTACTTTACTTTTTGGAAATAAATACTCCTATATTTACTTCTTTGGTTTCCTCAGAGCCTCCTTGCCCCCCAAATATAAAAGACAATAGTGCTTCAGGTATGACTTATCCCAACTGGAGTAAAAATGATTTGTGTGTATGTGGGAGTTGGACCAGAAATATTATAGAGGTAACTAAATGAGAGAACATACAATAGAAACTCACTAAGAACGAACCTCTTGAACAGAGAGGTAAGGCTGAGGCACACAATGATGTCACAGAAAGAGACCTGCAAACTAACTGGCTGCATTGTCACCTTCCTAATAATAAGTCCTAGAAAGCAGACAGTGTGCAACCTGACGGGTGGCTTAGTACCCTTGGTTAATCTGTACCTAGGGGCTGACACATGCAGTTCACAGAATCTCTCTCTCTCTCTCTCTCTCTCTCTCTCTCTCTCTCCTTTTTAATCACCTTATTCTGAGACCACTCTAGACTTGTAGCGGAGCCTACAGCTCCCACTTGGTTAATCTGTACCTAGGGGCTGACACATGCAGTTCACAGAATCTCTCTCTCTCTCTCTCTCTCTCTCTCTCTCTCTCTCTCTCTCTCTCCTTTTTAATCACCTTATTCTGAGACCACTCTAGACTTGTAGCGGAGCCTTGACAGCTCCCACAGGACTCACCAGCCTGGTTAGGGGCTGCTATGCCCATGGACACTTGGCAAATGTCAGTACTAAGAAATAAACAGGGGTACCATCTTGGTTCCACTAGTTTTCCATTAATGTCACTGGTTCTAATCAGGACCCCTTGGTGCCACAGACATTCCATATCCTGGTCTCCAGGTTGCTTGTCTTTTTGTTGTTGTTGTTGTTTTGGAAGGGTCTTGCTATGTAGCCCTGGCTACCCTATAGCACAGGATTTCCTCAAACTCATGGCACTCTTACTACCTCAGTCTCCCAAGTATTAGGGTTACAGGCATCATCATCACCATGCCTGGCTCTTGGGATTGAGTTATAACTATAAAATAGTTGATGGGGACATCTGTGCTCCAAAGGGTTTGGAGCCAGGAGGCCATGGCACCTATTGGCTGTTATTGGTTACATGGACTTTAATGACACTGCTGAGGTGGTATCTGCCAGAGTTCCATTGTTGAATTGCTGTTTCCTTTGTAACCAACAAATATCTTGGGAAGATACTTTCAGCCAAAAATATATCCTATTTCTTTCAGTCTTCTGTCCACTAAATTTGGCACCCTAGGGGACACTCACGACAATTCCTGGGGTTCTCACAGTGGCTCCTAGTTCATTCACATTCATCATAGGAACTCTTTGTTAAGGGGCTTTCTCTATATATTAGTATGGACTTAGATTATTACGTATTTTGTTTCCATGGGGAGGAAATGCTTTCTGATTGAATCCTGTGCTATTTCAACAATCACCATCACCGATTTTTCAGCAGTCCTTTGTTTTCTGGTATCACAAGGTGCTCTAGGCCTTGACTCCACTTTCTGTGCTTGTCCTGGAATCCACCCCTTCTCCAGAGGCATAACTCCATTGGTGGGAGAGCACTGCAGATTCTCTGACTAGAGATCTAGTTCCAGGTGTACTCATGGCCACCAGTACCTCGCCACTCTCAGAAAGTGACCTAGAATGCATGCTTGTATATGAGGCCATGCCATATATACCTGTACTCTGCATGGATTTCTGTTAATCTGTGTACCCAACAAAACCAAGAGCTTAAACTGACATCTAACTCCTAAACTAGCCCTTAACTCCCTGCATCTCATGTATGAGAAGGCTGTTCTCACCAGCTATGTGTTTGTGTATGTTTGTTTCACACTGAAATACAAAGAATTTCCCTGTGAGAAACACATTTACCACAAGGAGCCTGTGGGGTGTGCACAGTCTTTCTGTCTCTAGCCTTTCAGTAGATTTGAGGTTACGCAGGACACTGCTGTTGTTCTCACTACTTGTGATACAATTTGATGAGGACTTGTCTTTCACAATTTCCATTTCATCATCCCCCAAGTCCATTCTGTAGTGCACAGTTCTAGGGGTCCTGACATGCAAAGCTTCCCCCAATACAGTACTGGATACAAAAGCCCCCTCTGATCACTCCACCTCCCACTCCAACCTGGGGCAACCACCGATCTGTTCTTGCCTCTGGTTGTACACTTTCCAGATCTTAAGGAAATAGAATCAAACCAGCTCTGGAGTTGGGCTCTGCTCAGCAAAATGCAATTCAGACTCATCTGTGACCCAGTTCTCTGAATCAAATTTTTCTTCTTCTTCCGTCTGTACACCATTTCACTGCACTGCTATTTGCAATTAATGGAATGCTTATCCATTTGGTCTAAGGATAGCTGGTTGCTTCTAGTTCTTGGCAACTATGGCAAAGCTACCAAAAACATTCACATACAGGATTTCTGTCAATGGAAGTTACAGTGTCTGTTGGGAAAACACCTAGGATAGGACTGTAATGCTACATGGTAAATGTTTTTATGAGAAACTGAAAAATCATTTTCCAAAGAAATCTGTATCATTTTGCATTCCCACCAGAAAAATAAGATTTCCTATTGGTTTGTATCCTTACCAGCTTGTAGGGCTGAGAGTTTTGTAAATTTTGGCTATTCTTTACTGGTGTGTAATGCTATCTCACTGATGTCTAAATTTGTAATTTAGATAGAAAATAATGCAGATATTTTTCACAGGCTTACTTGACAACTGTACATCATCTGTGATATTAGTTCACAACTTTTGCTTACTCTTTAAACTGTTTTTTTTCCCTTGTCAAATTATGAGGGTTCTTTATATATTATGGATACAAGTCTTTTGTTGGAGTGTGACTTACAAATATTTTCTCCTAGTCTGTGGCCTGTCTCTTCATTTTCTTAACTGTATCATTCACTGAGCAAAACTAAAATTATGATGAAGTTCATTTTGCTTTTTCCTTCATGGATCACAATTCTGAACTACATCTAAAAATCCTTTGTCAAGCTAATACATAATTGCCTTCTGTATTTCTTCCAGCCAGAAAATCTACAGTTCACATGCACATCCAATAGTCGCTTGAGTGCCCATGCACATGAGGAGCAAGGTGAGGCTTATGAGTATGTGTAGTCAGCTGTCCTGACATCATGTGTCCTTCCTCCATTTGACTTACCCTTTTGTCAAAGGTCAGAAGTGTACCTGGATCTATCTCTGGATTCTCTTCTATTCATCTTTGTTTGTCCTTCTGTCCTCTGCCAATCACACAGTGCCTTGATTGCTACTGTAGAGCCAATCTTGAAATCAGGTAACCTGTCGCTTTACTCTGCTCTTTTTCTAAGTTGTTTCATCAAATCCAGTTTCCTTGCCTTTCTATCTCAATTTTAGAGCTAGTTTATTCAACAACAGTCTCCACATCAAAAACATTCCTTTACATTTAAAGATTTCTTTTCATATTTCCTGCATAGGTGTTTTGTATATTTTGTCAGTTACACTAAAGTGTTCTGCTTTTCTGTGCTACTATAAATGCTATTTATATTTTTTAGCCCTAACTGTTGCTAGCATATTAGAATTAGAAATCACATAAAATATTTTTCTCTTTTTTGGATTTTTTCAACATAATTATGGTATCTATAAATTATTTTAAAATTTCCTTTTAAAAATTCAGTGCTTTAAACTTTTGGTATTAGTCATCACTGTTTTAAAAATTATAAAGGGTCTCACTAGGTTGTCCAGACTGGCCATGAACTTAAATCTGTAGCCTAGGCTGGACTGAGGCATACAATTCTCCATCCTGGAACTCTGGAGTAGCTGAGTAAGCCTCCACCACAGCTTATGGTTTAACATTTATAAGCTTGTATGCTCCATGGTAGTTGGTGGTGAGAATTCAAATTATCTGTCATATAAAAGAGATAAGAATTGTTTTTGATTATTTCAATAGTAACAAGTGTCAGTTCTAACTGCTATTTTTTCTGTGGAATTTATTGTGAGTGCAGAAAAGACATCTAAGGACAATCTGAACAATTCATTGCTTTATTTAGCTTTCACGTAAGTAGCATGGTTGTTATGGAGACTTCTTCAACTATTAAAATTTAGTTTTATGTTCATTTGGTTATTGTTTATTTCTTATATTCACTTGAGAATAAATGTAAACATACATTTCCTACATTAGCATAGATGTTCTAGAGGTTCCTCCATGTTATAGCATGTGGTGGGATTTTTTTTTCTAAGTTGTATAATATTTTACTGTCTGATTTACATTTTCTTGAATTGAATACTTAAATTGAAATTTGTGTGACTTCCACCTTTGGGTTATTATGAGTAAAGCTATCATAAACAATAACAAAATTATGCAAGGGCACAAATACACATTTCAAAAACTACAAACATTTTGAGCATATTACAGACAAGAAATGGTAGGCAGAGGCAGAATTCTTGTGAAGGGCTGTCTGCTATTACTTACTGGGTATCCTTGCAATTGGTGCAAAAACAAGCCAGGCCCTGCAACTAGGTAGTGATATGAAACTGTGAACTGTGAGCCAAATTCACAGCCAAGCAAAGACACCTCAGGGGCATGGGTTGTCTTGCCGACCATGGGTTACCTCACTAACCCTCTTCCCAGACTCACTAGCTCCTTAATAGGTCACAGACCACCTGGGACAAGTGGAGACATTTGCAGGGTTAGGAACAGCATGAGCATATCAATTTCCTGTCTCACTGGAAGCATCCAGAGATCAAGTAAACTCATAATGAGCAAAGTTTAATGATGCAAAGCAAAACTGGACTTCAAAAGAGGAACAAGAGGGGCTGGAGAGATGGCTCAGTGGTCAAGAACACTGGTTGTTCTTGCAGAAGACCCGGGTTCAAATCCCAGCACCCACATGGCAGCTAACAACTGTCTGTAATTCCAGTCCCAGGGGATCTGACAGCCTCTTCTGTCCTCCGCAGGCATTGCACGACACGGGTGCACTTACTTACATGCAGGCAATACACGCATACACATAAAATAAAAATAATAAATAAAAATTAAAAAAAGAAGTTAAAAAAAGAGGAACAAGAAAATATTCCAGTTATAAATACATTAATTTTTATAACTGATACAAACTGCATGGATTTTTAAAATGAAGGAAATGTTGTTTTATTGTTTAATTGATTGATACATCAACTATTTAGCGAACAGATAAATACCAGGGCTGTGTCTCCAGGGCCTAAACTATACCTGACAGGTAAGAATGGGCAGGTATAGTTTAGGCTGTAGAAACAGACAATGTTTAAATTCACAATTGGTTAATCTCATTAGAACAGTAAAGCAGACCTGTGATACTTGCATTGTTCATACTCTTAGACTAAAATGACTAGTTATGAAGGACATATAAAGGAAAGCAGGGCATTTTATTGCAAAGTACATAGTACCTCCCTCGGTTGCTGCAACTTTGGATGAGCAACTCAGAATCTGCTAGATATTATCAGTGGACAGCTACTTACAAGCTGTGGCTTATTTCATGCTGCTGTCCTATCCTGCTTGTCAATTACCTCTTCATTTATCAGGAACATTTTTTCCTGCTGTTAAAATATAGGCTTGATGAGTGTGGGGATACCTCATGTCCTTCAGCTCTGGCAGGTGCCTCCTACATGGCACACAGTGTCCGAGGCTAACAAGCAGCCTGCTTCAGCATGGCCGGTCTCTGGCTACATGATTATTAAGGAAGGATACAAAGAGAAGCTAAGATCTCTTGCCAAAATGTTCATTAGAAATGAAAAGCTTCAAAATTGCTCCTCAGATTAAGAAAAGAGAGCTCAATTCAACCAAGTTGAATGGGCCAGTGTTTAATATAACTTTATTTTTGAAGGACTTGAAGTGTATCAGATTTGTAATACATACTACGAAGATAAAAATTATAGATTTATAGATCATTAAAAAGGGAAAATTAAAGACAGTGGGAGACTAATCATTAAAAACACAATGCAGCGGGGGCTGGAGAGATGGCTCAGCAGCTAAGAACACTGGTTGTTCTTGCAGAAGACCTGGGTTCAAATCCCAGCACCCACATGGCAGCTAACAACTGTCTGTAACTCCAGTTCCAGGGGAATCCAATGACCTCTTCTGTCCTCTGTGGACATTTCACAACATGGGTGCACTTACCTACATGTGGGCAATACACTCGTACAATTAAAAAAAAAAATTAAAAAAAAAGGGGTCAGTCTCAGATGCAAAGATATTCTAAATTCTTGACCTTAACAAAAATGGAAACTTGGACCCTAGATGAGATACAACGCAGTCTAAACTGCACACAATGCTCCGCCTATCTACATGGTGTCAGCTAATGATAGCAAATATACTGATTCCATGCTACAGTTAGGACAAACTACTCTGTCAGACACTTGTGACCCTATAAACATCTTTTTGTTACTGAACTAATTAGGTATCTGTAAGGAAGCTAGTGGGTATCGTTTAAATCCTTATAAGCAGTAAAAGCTGTGTCTAGCCCTCTCCTCTGATTCTTAGTAAAGAATGTGCTTGCCACTACTAGAGTCCTGCTGCTGAGCATTCCTCCTAGCCTGTGAGCCGGCACCATCACCTAAGCAACATAACTTGCAGTAGTCCAACTACTGGGATGCAGACTGCCTAGGTTTAAGAAGAGGAGGGAGTCTAGACTTGTATCAAAATCTGGTTTCCACCTTCTATCTGTGAGGCAATGTTAGGCTAACATTTGTAGAGTGTCTTGAAATGAGGAAATGAATGAGCTACTAAAACTATAATTATTCACAATAACTTCCTGTAGTTTTTGTTTCTCTGACCCTATTGTAATCCCAGCACAATGGTCTCATTTGAGGATTTTGGAATGAAAATGTTTCTTCTAGTTATAATATGTGTAATTTGCAATAATCTCTTCTGGTAGCCACCACCATATTATCAACATAGTAATGCTTGACATTTATATACCTTATTTTATGCTATAATGATAAGATTTACTTATCCTGATTATAGAATTATATGGGTACTTTGCATTTCTTTTAAGAGGCTTTAAATTTTTATTGAATTTGATCCTTAAAATAATACCACAAACCCCTCAAGCTAACACAGCTTTCTCAATACCTGTCTGGTGAGTTGATAGTCAGTTGGACCGCAGTCTACTTTGTTAATTAGCAGTCAGCTGGATTATGGTCTAGTTTGTTAGTTAGTGGTCAGCAGAATTATAGTCTAGTTGGTTGGTTAGCAATCATCCAGACTGCAGTCTAGTTTGTTAGTGGTCAGCTATACTATAGTCTAGCCTGTTGGTTGGTGGTCAGCTGAACTACACAATCTAGTCTGTTAATGGTCAGCTAGACTGGCACCTAATTTCTTGAACACCTAATTCTTTTCTTCACTATACCATATTGCTACAGCTTTAAAATTCTGAGTTAATTTCAGGTTATCAAATGTAAACCTAAATTTAATTGAGGGTTAGTGGATTTTGTTTTCCATGCTGGGTTAGGAAAAGCTAGCCATGTAGAAAATTCCGAAGTTATCAGTTTGTATTTGCAGGGCTGAGTTATTCCTCTACCCTGTGTCCTTATGGGTTCTAGCTTTAAAAACATGCTTTGACATAAAAACATGGCAAACTCCAAGCCTCCTTAAGAATATCTTATGAGTACAGTGTCAAGCTGAATGGGGCCTCTACACAGTGGCAGCTTCACAGGCTTTTCTGGTCACCCTTTTCCTTGCAGTGTCTCTATACAACAGTGTAGGTCTCAGGGACAGAGGCATACTGTGGACTACTTTTAAAGTATAATTCTGACCCCCACAACTAGAGACCTAGCAATGCCCAGTAAATGTCCAGTCATTGACTCTAAGGATTTTCAGTTGGGCAATGCTGTGCTCTGTACTGAGAAAAAGAGACTGGTCCTTTCATAGGGGTGACAGTGCTAAGCATGTGGAGCTGCAGCTAGACAAGGTCCTTTGTAAGAACCGAGTCATCATAGGCTTAGTAGTCTTTGCTAAATTCAAAAAAGTTTCACAAATGGTTCCACGCTTCCTTTCAAATTCTAATTTTATGTGTGACGCGACAGGTACATTTGAGAGACTTTTTAGAGGGGGGAATGTTAGAGTAGCAAAAAGCCCCATTAAAAAAAAAGTATATGAAGTTGTCAGGAAAGTGATGGGGATCAAAACACCTTATATGCATGTATGAAATTCTCAATAAAGTTTTTTAAGTAAAAAAACGCGACAGGTACATTTGAGAGACTTTTTAGAGGGGGGAATGTTAGAGTAGCAAAAAGCCCCATAAAAAAAAAGTATATGAAGTTGTCAGGAAAGTGATGGGGATCAAAACACCTTATATGCATGTATGAAATTCTCAATAAAGTTTTTTAAGTAAAAAAAAAACAAAAAAACACAAAAAAACCCACACAATGCTCCAAAATGTGCATGTTTTTTCATGCGTGCCACATGCCAGGCTGTAAGCTTTTCCCTGGCTCTGGGGTCATACCTTGGTGAGGTCCTTGTATAGCTCTGGGTAGAGAATTGCCATTTCTGGCTTTACATCTTGGTCCAACACTAAAGAGAACACTGGAAACATGGTGTAGATAGTTGCATACCTTAGAAAACAAAAAAACTAAGTTGAGTTAATCTGATTAATGAGTTCAACACAACTGTGACCACACTTCTAGAATCAGAGGTAGGTCAAAATTTCAAAAAACAGAATAAAACAAAATCTATCAAAACAAAAAAACCCAAGTAGGTAACCAAGTAAGATTATTTTTGAAACTGGGTTTTGAGCCCAGCATAATGGCATATTCTATAACCCTCCAACACTTAGAGACAGAAGCATCCGTTTAAGACAGGGTCTCCCTGTAGCTCTCGCTATGGCGACCAGGCTGGCCTTGAACTCATAGAAATCCACCTGCCTCTGCCTCCCAAGAAAAGGTTTCTTATTAAACTTTTGTTTTATGTTTTGAGACAGGGTTCTCATAGCCAAGGTTGGTCTGAAACTCACTACAGAAGCCAGCAGGCCCTGAACTTAGGATCCTCCTGCCTCAGCCTCCTGAATGCTGGGCTTATATGTTACTATGCCACAATGCCCAACTTGCTTATTAAACTTAAAAAAAACCTTTGTGCTTATTAAACTTTTTATATTGAGATCTGTGTAGTCACATGCAGTAATCTAACACAGAAAGACCTTCCCTAGTACTTCCAATGCAGTCCTGACTGACATTGAACACCCAGCCCACCAGAATGCCCTTCTTCCCAACTGGGATCATCCTTCAGTCCTGGTGCTTATACTAACTTATTCTTCCTCTCTGTCATTTTAGGGTTACTGTATGAGTGGAATTAAGTAGTAGGAAACCCTTGAGGATGGCTTTCTGGACTCTGCACAGTACCCAGAAGATTATCTAGTGATAACTGTGCAGTGACTTTCTTACAGTTGAACAATACCTTATGGTTTAACCATTGTTCATTTGTATAAATACATCTTGTTTATTCCCAGCTTTGGGTTATCACAAATAAAACTGCTATAAACATTCATTACCCACCCTCCACTCCCACCCCTTTTGACACAGGGTATTACTTTATAGCCAAGGCTGGACTGGAACTCACTATGTAGCAAAAGCTGACTTCGATTTGTCTTGCTCAGTCTCCCAAGTGCTGGCATTACTTATAGGTATGCACCACCACACTGAGACTATCCCAGTCTTTTGTGTATATAACTTGTCACTTTGGGCAGGAGGAATGCCACCTGGATTGGTGCTAGTCATACAGCAGAGGCATGTTCAGTTTAGCTTCTTTTGAATACCTATGATTTGTTGTACTCTGTGCCCCAAACTTAGAGTAGTTCCTCCATAAAATGCTACCTGAAGCTCCTCATTGTAACTTCCTGTTGGATGAGGAAAGAAGCTCAGGAGATCATCACATTTCCAAAGGCCACACTAGTGACTGTGGGAGGCAGCATGCATCCCTGGGTCTGAGATGTAAGGCCCTCCTTTTCTTAATTATAACACACTGTGGTCAGAAGCATACTTGCTCCTCAGAAGCCCACAGTCTCCTTGCCAGCATCACTGTGTAGGCATTTCACGTGATTAAGCTACTGACTCTGAGACAGATTATCCTGGATTCTCTGGGTGGGTTCAACAGAATACACAGATCTTTGTGAAAGAGGGTAGTTGTGCTGTGGGAAGAGATAAATGCTGCTGTAGAAGAAGTCACAGATGTAGCTTCTGCTCTGATGATGGCAGTGATGTGGAAGGAGGCAGGAGCTCCAAGGAACGGCAGGCAGCATATACCACTGATTCTGACTTAGGAAGCAGGTTACCTACAGAGACCTCATGTTTAATGAAGAACACTATTCCCCAGCATCTTGCTAAAGTTATTAGCAATTCTGAGAGCTACCATATATACTTGGGGGGTGACAGAACCCCCCTTGCCTGTCCTCCTCTGGCTGGAAGGGAAGCTGAATACTATGGAGAAAGGAGCTGGTGTGAATGCAGCAGAGGATAGCACCTGAGTCAATCCTTTTCATTCTGACTATCTGGCTAGGTTTCTTCACTCCTGAGCATGGTCCTGAGCCCTCTAGGTACCTCTCCCTGTTCTCACATGCAAAACATGGATGAGAAGACAGACCTGTGCTAGAACAGTGTTGGTAATGCCAAGGATAGGGCTGTAATCATTACTTTCCAGGGTCTAGTCGCAAGGTTATACCCTAGTTTGCAGTGAGTGGTGCTTAGCAGGTCACAGAGAATGGCAGGGGATGGCTTCTATTTTGTGGCCATACACTGACAGTTACACTTTTTTGAGAATGAGAGAACTTAGAATTTATGTACTTAGAGGGACTCTTCCTCTCAGACTTAGTGAATAAGATCACCTTGGCATTCAATGCACTTGTCCAAGATCTCTGAGGGGCTATCTTTGAGTGTGAGGTTTCACTGTCAAGTACAGACAGGTCATGTCTCTCCCAAAGCTAAGAAAATACCTAGTGCTTTCTGTTCCTTGTTTCCTGGTTGGTGGTTGGTCCTGTTCCCTTCATGGCAAAGTCATATTCCCACCGGGACAGGGACAGGCTCAGGAGGCCTGCAGCTGTGGCCTGCCCGCTTCAACCCCTGCTGATGGCAGCGCTGGCATGTGCCCGCCCCTTGGTTCTGCCCCTCTCATTATGCCACGGGGCCCTTTTATAAAACTTCAGATCCGCTGTGGTTCCTGACACAAATTATGGCTTCCCCATGAAAACAAAATCTAATGAGAAACTTAGCACAGTCTCAAGAGGCGTTAAATGTACAGGTGTTATTTCGAATTTTGCCAAGCTCAACATTAAATTTCACGACAGTTATACACCCTAAATGCAGGCATGTAAGAAATTACTCAAAATGACCTAGAATATTACTCAATATTCTAAAAGTATCCTTCAAATTAGAAATTCTCACATATATGAAACTGTGAGGCACCATGAACACCCATTTCACTTACCCCACCATAAGGAATCCCTGGTACAACGGGACAGATGCAAAGTAGAAGACTGAAGAAAACACAGCCTTAAAAGACAGAAGACCGTAAGTTAAAAGCACAACTACTGCTGGTCACATTTTCACAGTCTAGCTACAGTAAAATGACACCCCAATAAGCTCAGTCACCTTCCATGACAAAGGCACAGTCCACAGAAAGGCCAGTGCCTGTTGTGGCACACTGAGCATAGGCTTGATACCTGCATGGTGGAGATGATGAGGCCCCTGTGCATGACAAACTGGCCGAGTGCTGCGGACCGCTTGTAGCTGTTCCGTCCGTGTACCATGAGCAGCCTGCCGATGTGTCTGAACTGCGTGATGGAGAAGTCTGCTGCCAGTGAGGCCTGCTTCCCCTCCTGCAGCAGGACCACAAAAAAACTCTGAGAAATACCATATACCAAGAACTGCACACCAAGCTCAGTTTTAGAGCTCAGCCTGAATGAAAAGGCACCAAGAACAATGTCTGCTTGACACTAAAACTTCACATGGTATGCCGTGAATCCATCCTCACTAGCTAGTGAGGGTGAAGCAGAGGAGCCTACACTGGTGCCTGTGTACATGCCCAGATGTCAACTGCTGTTCACAAGAACTTCAGAAAGATGTGGCTTTAGCAGTCTATTGACAACACAGAAATTGAGGAATAAAGTGGTACTGGCATACTATCACTTAGTCCCAGGCCTCTTAAAGACAATTCTCTTATCCTTAGTTACCTCATACTTGCAAAAATAATCTACTTCCTATTTCTCAAAGGTTGTTATAAAGAGTGGAACAAACCAGCCAAAATCAAGTTGGGTAAAATTTCCAGGTCTTGTTGGGCACATTTTTATTTGGGTGATTTGGTACAGAGAGGAATCAAGGATGGCACAAAGCCAAACCTTAATCATGGCTTAGTTAGCCGAAGAAAAGGACATGTCCACAGAGAATGTGGCATGTAAACAGGAGAGAGAAGCTGAGATGCTAGGGGAGGCCAAGAAAGGTATTCTGAGGAGTCAGTGGCAATGGACCTGGGCCATAGGTACAGGGAACTTGAAAGATAATTCCTACAAGACTTTCCCAGCTTAAGAAAGATGCTGAGTGGTTACAACACTAATTTCCCTGTTAACCCACATAGCTGGGTGTGGACAAGGACTAAGGAACAGAAGGACAGACTGACAGTTGACCTCTCCCCCAGAATGGGCTTGTAATGGACAGATAAATAGTGATGAAGCACATGTGCTATACATGTGTGACAAAAAAAAAGCACCAACCTACCTTCCCTTCAATTCCAATCCCACAATCGGCTGCCTGGATCATGCTCACATCATTGCCTCCATCACCTGAGAATCATCAAGGTTGGGAGAGTAAATAAAACACCTTTCATAACCATTCAGGGCTATTTACATTTTCCAATAATGTAGATGGGCTCACCAATGGCACAAGTGCGCTTTCCAGTGTGCTGGCGTAGCAGGGTCACGATATGGGCTTTCTGGGTGGGTGAACAACGGCAACAGACCACAGCAGGGCACTGGCAGGCCAGCTCCACAAGTTCATGCTCGTAGTACCTCAGGCAGACCTGGGAGACAATGCTGTGACTCCACTGTTACCACAGATCTCTGGACTCAGGTAAGCAGAATTGTGGGAAAGCCCTGGCCTTTCTTCAGGTAAGCATATTTGCATTTTTTTGTGACCACGCCCTCCCCATTCACAACTCAAAGTTCCTGCCAAGTGAAAGCTCCAGTTTAAAATTACCCACCTTGGTTGAGAAAACCAAAATCTCAAAGCCCTGTGTAAAGGGCAGAGTTCACTGACTCTCTAGGAACTCTAGGGTTTTCCCCTATCTTAAAAGGACTGGAATTGAAAAACCTGGTCTTCAGGTCACATGACCCAGAATGCTACTGACAGTAGGAAAATGTTTATTTCCTGGGACCCAGCTGTCAACTTCATGAAGGGTGCAGTTGACCCTTTGCCAGGAGCTGTTCCAAACTTCCTTCTCCAGCTGCAGCCAGGACCAGCAGCAGGCTAGTGTCAACCTGTTTCTGCCTATCTGCCTAAGCAGGGCCTGTTGCTACTTGTTTTCACCTGTTTCCCTTCTGTTCACAGGGGACAAAGAAGACTAAAGGCGTGTTCACAGATTGCCTTTGGGACCTCCAAGCACTTTCTCACACATTGTGACTATCTGAATTTCTGTGTCTTATTTTTCTTGTGTTGAATTTCTCATACATAAAAATTATATACATATGAATTACATAGCTTTTAATCTGATGTAATACAAATACATGTACTTTTTGTTAGCTACCTACAAGATATAAGAATATAAGAAAACAAAATGAATGCCATCTACTGATCACTGGACATGAATCCAACCAAAGTCACAATTTAGTTTTGCTGGGAGTTGATAGCAAGAATTGAATGAAGCCTTCATTTCAGCAGGAATCAAACAGACACTATTAAACCTTAAAAGAACAGCAGTATTTGGAAACACAGCAACAGATGCCACAACATGAGGCTGATGATCCTGTGTTGGGGCAGGAAGAGAACTGAAAAATCACACACACAGTAAATACAAATAACAAATGGCTCAGAGAAGCTAGGAAGATATTTTTTGACTTAAGGAAAGGACATGGTACTTGGGTCCATTTCATTAGTACTGTGGAGACAGGCTATATAGAGCCTCACACATTCTCTTACTATAATCACAGACCAAGGACCAAGCTTCCCTGCTTGACTCCAGGCAAGGAGGGAGAATGTAACTGCCTATCCAATCACCCTGATTGGACTCCATAGTTTACAACCTTGCAAGGGGTCTCTCAAGTATTTTACTGGACTCATATAGACAGGAAAATAAAAAAACCAGGGAGAGAATTCTGGGCAACATGGAACTATCCTTCCTCTTGCTCCAGGAAACTTTATCTCCTGAACATGGGATGTTCCATGATCAGAGCTACAGTGTGATCTCTGGTACAAATACTGCAGTAGTTAAGACGACAACCAAATCTATGATACTTCTCTCCAGAGTCTGAGCCTGGTTCCCTCACAAATCTAAGCTGGCCATAATGATTTGCTCCACTAATAGCACACGAGTAAAGTGATATCCTGGGACAAATGAGGCTCACTTTAAGAATCCTTGCTACCTCAGCTTAGACTTTCTGGGATGATGTTCTAGGAAAGCAGGTGCCATATGGAATCTGACACAATCAGTCCAGATTGCTGTGCAAAAGCTGTGTGGAGAGAGGCACCCCTGGGTGTGGTTATCTCAGACTGGAGCCCAATCAATGCATGAAAAAAGAATGAAGCCATTTGCGTCATTCCAGTGTTGGGACCCCACTGGCTCCAGTTGAGCCTTCTTGGCCTCCTCCACTTAGTTGTTTCCTGCAGTCCTTCCTAGGCCCCTACATTCTCTGCAGTCTCCTAAGACTCTGAAGAACACCAGAGTTTCACTAGAGAGGCTACCACCTCTACTCAGGCAGTCATATGGTTCCACATGTATAAATCTGAAAATACTGGTTTAGATAAACTCAGAACAAACATTGTGGTCCCAACTGTCATGGCAACTGGAGGCTGGTGCTATTAACAATGAGCAGAGGACCCAGAACCAGGACAGGGCCTTGAAATGCTGAAATCAAGCAGCCTCCAAATTGAAAGGGACAGAGGATCACTCAGACATAGCCAGGCATGTCCTCAGGAACGCGTGTTCATCAGTGCTAAATGCCACAGGGGTGATAAAACAATGCCTTGATAGCAGAAGCTAGTTAAGCTGCTGATGAATATACTTTGTTCAGGAAACCTTGTGTCAATGGCCTAGAAAGACAGGCAGACAAATGCTTGGTCAGGGAGTAGTCTTAAGAGACAGATGGACAGACAGCACATGCTGTGCTATTGCCCAGTCCTATCCAGGAGAGAGACACGCACTATGTTATAGAAGAGTCTGACCTTAGGAGCCAGGGATATATACAAACATGTACATTCTTAGCAAAAGACAGAACACACACACAAACACTGGGCCTTACCTCCAGGGAGTCCCCAGATATAACTAGTGCACAATCATGCTTCCTTCTAAATGCATTCAGTTCCAAATGGGCCTCTCCCCGACTGGTTACCTCCATTAGAGGAAAAAAAAAAAGTATCATTAATTAAACACACAGGCAACAGACCAAGGAGACATTTTTAGAGAAATCAGAGTTAAGGTCCTTTGGACACAATATTTAGATCCTAAAGGTGCTTTACATATGAACCGAAATCCTATAACAAGGTCCCTGTAAATCCTGCACCTGTTCCAGTGACTACCCGCTTTTCTAACAGAGCTTCTTTCTGATTTGTGGCCATGAAAGCAATCACCTTTGCAGAGTCTGGGAGGGCTATTGCTGTTCTATAAACCTTCACACAAGGACATAATGACCCAGAATTTTCTAGCACTTTATTGGAGATGATTTAATAAATTGAATGCATGGCTAGATGGTATGATGAGTAACACAGAATCATTGGTGTATAGCATCAGGAACACAGTCCTAGAGAATTATATTTCTTAAGTTAGAATACCAGGGATCCAAGGAAGTTGAGTTCCCCTTTATCATTCATCATCAGCTAAGAGGATAAATCATATAGATCAGGGTTTTCTTTGAACATTCTTCTTTTCATAATATATGGAATGATGCAAAATAATTTCACAAAGTTACTGCTGTCATTTCTGCCACGAGTTTCAGCTCATCCCATTCATTTTTGTTCAGTGTCAGTTTAAAAGGATAAAAAAAATCAAGTCAAGGGCTGGGCATGGTGGCGCACACCTTTAGTCCCAGCACTTGGGAGGCAGAGGCAGGCAGATCTTTGTGAGTTCAAGGCCAGCCTGGTCTACATAGTGAGTTCAGGTCAGTTGGGACTACAGGGAGACCCTGTCTCAAAAAGACACACACACACACACACACACACACACACACACACACACACACAAAGTCATAATGGTGAAATATTAATTTTAAAATGGAAACATGCCAGAAACCAGATACACTTCCTGTGAAGATTTTATGGGGCATAAATGATGTAGGGGTGAAACAAATTAAAAATTTCACACAGTCCAAATTAATCTCAGACTCATCTTTAAGTAGGTATGTTTTATTGTGAAATTTTTAATTTGTGGTGCTATAATTCTGAAAAGTCAACAAAAATTGATCGGAAGTTTTATCAGAAGCATTAATAATTTAATTGCAAATAGTAGTCTGCAGGGCCTAATTTGCGATTCTGATGCTTCAAAATAAAGTACATTTACATGTAAATGATACTGAAATAACCATTTCTGTAGGTGCAAGCACTTTGTTCAGACAGCTACAAACACATGGTGTCTGCTTGCCCACCATCAATCAAGACCCAAGGAACTTCTATTTCTCATCTGAATTAAATTCAGTCATAACTGCTATGTACAGTAAACACACAGATTCAGATCCCTTCCACCACTTTCTTTGCACTAGCTAAAGAAGCATGTTTAATCTGAAATGGCAGCAGGCTAGAGGCACTCCTGTTTTGTATCTGAACTTGTTTCACAGTGCCTCTGCATCATTGCTACAGCTAATAGGAATCATATTTAAAAACCAACATATACTTTTGTAAGTTGAATACAAAATATTTGTAGCATGTTTATCTGAAGATAGGCAGTCATAGTAATATTAAAAGTATAGCAGAAAAATACTTTTCAATTTATAGCTTGTTTGCTATCAAAAAACTTTTCAAAAACTACGTTTAATTTAACAATTACTTCAACATGTTTTTATAAATTTATAAATCAATAAGAAAACAACATCTCTTTTAAAAATATATTTGGTAATTACTGTATATATATCTTAATTATGAAATAAAACCTTTAAAAATCCAGAGTGATTTAGAAACATACTTACTGGTCTGAAAATATGAATGTCTTGTGTTCTGGACACCAAGTGTGAACTTTTGGCAATACAAGTAGCTGTCTCCAGTTTATCACCTGTTAGCATCCAAATCTATGAAACAATTTAAACTTGTGAACTTCAATAATACAATTACAACTCCATCTCTTAAAAGTAACTCTGTCAGGACTAGAGAGATGGCTCAGTAGTTAAAAGCACTGATTGTTCTTACAGAGGACCTACGTTTGATTCCCAGCACCCACATGGTGGCTAACTACCATCTATAACTCCAGTTCAAGGGGATCTGATGCCTTGACCTTTGCATTACATGACATGGGTATACTTAAACACATGCAAGCAATACATTCATACACATAAAATAAAAATAATAAATAAAATATTTTTAAAAAGTATCTCTTTGAACAGATGTTTGTATGTCCCTGTTCACAGGATTATTACAATAGTGAGGAGGTGAAGCAACCCACGGGTACACAGAGACAAAGAGATAAATGAAATGTGGTCTCTCCAAACAATGCATACGTCTGAGTTTTAAAAAGAAAGATTCTGACACATGGACTGTGATGATACCACGCTGACTGACATTGGCCAGATACAAAAGGACAAATATGGCATAATTCTACTTAAATGAGGGGCCTAGAAAAGCCAAATTCATAGGGACAAGGAGTAGAAGTTTCATTGGTAAAAGGTTTTAGTTTGAGAAGATGAAGAGTTATGGTGATGGGTAATAGTGATGGCTGAACACCATATGTTTATTTCATGTACTCATCTGTATACCTAAAAGTGGACCACAGGTAACTTTTTTTTTTTAACTAATAAAACAATACTGACTTGTTTAGGGAGAACAAGTCAGAAAGTGAGGCTCAGACTTATGGCTGTAGTCTAGAGGGACATGACCAATGATCGGGCTTTGTTGTTATTAGGTTAAGGTTAATGCAGAAGCTTGAAGATATGCCACTGAGGCAGTACACAGAGCCAGAAGATCATGAAGACCTTTGCTTTAACATAGTTCTTCAATTGGAATGTGAAGTCCAAATGGGTCAATGGACCATGACCAAGTCAAAATGTATTCACATCAAATAAAACATGTCAAACTGCTACTTTAACACTAAGAAAACTATATATACATGTACATACTATGAGTCTAGTATACCTAGATTACAGTGGCTTAAATTGTGGGTCATGATATACACAGGGTCATAACTGAATACAAGGATTCCTGAAAAATTGGTGATAAAAAGGTTTTGGAACATGCAACAACCAAAAGTAATTCAGAATCAAAGGCCTAATGAACCTGAGGTGGTTTTGGCAGTACTTTCTTGTGTTGCATCACAGGCTCCACTGCAACCTTGGTTCTGAACTCACAACACAGGCACTTTGCTTTTTGCATGCCCACATACCATGCAATATCCATGAACACCGTCTGAAATACTCTGGCTCAGAGTCTATACTGTTGCATGTTATAAACTACAATGTTTTTACTGTGTATACAAACCACTCTATTCATATAGAAACAGAGTGGTTTAATTGTCCAAAACAAAGGTTCTGAATTTCATAAACTTGTTCAATGAATTTTGGCTTAAGATTGGGACAGAATTCCCAACAATTTCTGAAATGGTCCTAAACATACTTTTGCTCTTTCCCTTAACTATGTATTTATGCAAAGTGGCATTCACAACTACAAAATAAAATATTGATCTACATGCCTGTAGTATCAAATATTCAACCAAGATGTAATATTTTATGTTAAAATAAAAAGGACATTCATCTCATAATATGCAAGTTTGTTTCTTCTTTAATAAGTGGTAAAATTTTATGACTAAAGAAT